AATGACCTAGCTCCAGAGCTGAGCAGGAGGAAGCGAGCGGCTTGGGGAGCCTTCAAGAACATCGAGGGAGTAGCGAAGAAGACGAAGAACACCAAGCTCCGTGCCCACCTCTTCGATTCCGCGGTCCTTCCTGCCTTGACGTACGCCTCAGAGACTTGGACTCTACGAAAGCAGGATGAGCATGCGGTCGGTGTTATTCAACGCGCCATCGAAAGGGCGATGCTCGGAGTTTCCCGCTACACGCAAGTGAGAGAGGGAATCCGGAGCTCCGCACGACGATCGAAGATCAGAGACGCCGCCGCTTTTGCCAAGGTTTCGAAGATCAGGTGGGCCGGACACGTCATGCGTTTCGAGGACGACCGCTGGACCAGAGCGATCACCGACTGGATTCCACGGGATGTCAAGCGAACGCCTGGACGACCGCCTATGCGATGGTCAGACTTCTTCGTGAAAGCTTGAAGTTCATCGTGTCCCTCGAGCTGAGAGAGTTCATTGGGCAACTCTTGCACGTTGCAGGGACGAATGGAGACGTTACTGGCGCCCGCTCGAGGAACTCGATGATCAACGGGAGCACAGGTGAGGTGAGGTGAATGAATTTTAGGCGTCAAATGTCCGAGGACTTTTGAGTCAACCTAATAGATCAGCACGTAAAATGAAGAACGTCAGAACGTCAATCTGTTCCAGTAGTTTCATCTTCCATGCTAGGCTCGTGCGTGTGCTGAGTTCACCAATTGTGATAGGTTGAAGGGCGTTCTTTTGTTAAATAATTCCGATTTACATCAGATATGACGGCATCAGTACCCTAATCCTCAGATAAGAGATGTACAGTTTGCTTGCCGCAGCGTAGCGCTTAGCGTAAGCTTCTTTGATAAGAAAGCGCCTAGTTCTTGCAACAGTTACTTGGTCGACTTATGCGTACAGGGCTTCCTCGTAAGGTAAGCAAGCGAGTTCCCGAACTTTTCGGAAGCATAATTTCTCGTTTAGACAATGATTCCCTGTGTTCTGCTCGCCTTTTTGTTGACTGTGGAAGCGGTTGCAGGGCAGTCGACTGTGCTTCGTTATGGTTGGTTTATCTCTGCTTTCCTAAGGATTAACGTCATTCCATTCCTATTTTGAGGTCGAAAAAGCGAACTTCCACGACATTTGCAAAAGGCTAAGATGAATGCCATTCCGCTATCAAACGCTGATTACTCCATAGCTCAAGGTGGTGTACGTTGCTTCTCTTATTGTTAGATGACTTCACATATTACTGAGAATTATAGGAACATCGTTTGCTTACTCCTACCTGAACGCTCATTTGAACGCGGTTGACACTTCCTACACAGAAAACCTTTCTCTTACTATCACAAACCCTACCGATCAGATTGCATCGGTCACGGTCAGTGCTTCAACTTTGAGAAATGAAAATAGAAAATGCAAAGAATAAGAACTGCATTTCAGATCACATCATCATACGTGAACTTTACCACTATGAATGTACTTGTCGGAGGAGGAGAAGTGAAAACGGTGAGGGACTAGGAAACCCTTTTACAAATTAATTGCATACTTGTATTTGATTAAAAAAACTTCAACTTTGTATTCTTCGCGTAACCCGGAATCAAACCCCGCTGCTCCATCTTTTAAAAGGAGGAAAACACTGAATGTTGGGGTTAGACATAGAGTTTTGTCTGCTGGGGGTGCTAGGGCGTGTCAGGGGTGCTGGCTTTGGCGCAGCGCCAGCCCGTTTTCTCGGCCCTGGTCGTTTGCGGTCTCTCACAATTGGTGAAGAACGAGTTGGCGCCGCTCCAAAAGCCCCTTGACACGACAAAGCATCCAGCAAAACACGACTCTATGTGATATAGCACCCTGTAGAGTATGCTGTCTGACTGTAGTTGTGAGGGACCAAATCTCATTCCTAGTTTAATCCGAGCCGGTGGAGTTCCCCAACTTCTCAGCAGTCCCACTAGACTTCCTGGAAGAATAAAACTTAGCTTTCACCTGACAGAGCGTCATATTTCATTGTGCCGGTCGACGAGGAGCACAAAGGCTCATCGATTATTCTTTCTACAAGTGCTGGAATAAGTGGAGTAAACGGACACTCTGAACGTTCGCATCGCTAGGAGCTAGGTGCGTACCCGGATTCCGAAGCTCTAGAGAATCAATATGACGCGTGTAGTAGAGTCACGCAAATAAGTGTTCATCCATAGCGAATTTGTCTCCGAAGCTGGATGGTGGGGGTCTTTAAATGTCCCAGCGACAGTGTCCAGGAACCTGCACATAGGCATAGGCGACTTGATCCCGCAAATACCCAGCTGCTCAAAGGAACAACCCGCGATGACCATGAAAATGCAAAAGATTGCGTGAAAGGGTGGTGTGGTCCGCAATGGACAACCTTGTACCAGTTTCGCGGCGGAAAGCTGTAAGATTAAGGAGTTAGGGCGCAGAGTTGCCCAGTGTCACCTCCCTTCTTCCGGTGGCTCCGCCTCCAGACTCCGCCTTCAAAGTATGTCCTCCAAACAAAATCGATGCTGGCAGGCAAGTAGTAAGATGGAGTGTCTTTTGTAGGGTCATGGGGTTCATTGAAAGAAATCATGAGACCGCACTCGTCCAAACACGCGGTCTCCTAGCCCTTTACGTGTACAGCTGTTTGTAGCTGGATGGGTCTTATTAAAGGCGTCTACGACGTCCTCTTTGGCATTTTCTCTTCAAAGGCGAGTCATCTGACGAATTCTCTCCCATATTCCAATACCATTACCTACGTCCCTTATCGCGGACCATGCCTTGAAAGGGAGCACGAATATGCAGTGTAGTAAATTTCCCGGTCAGAATGCAGTCTAGTGGGGGGGGTGCGCTTAAGAGCCTTTGGAGCCCTACTTTTTGGAAGGTTTAAGACCTCGGAGTTATGCAGTCAGGACTTTAATAGGTCCACTATCGAGCGTAGTAGCGAACCTTGTTTTAGGCTGACGACTGATCCGAACAGCGCCCAAGAACCCCGTCGCAATCCGATGTTGGTGGTTTCACTTCACTGTCAGTACCTTTCAGCCGTGCAATACCATAGTGGCTCTTCAACTGCTCTAGGGTTGTATTGGATGATATAACACATACATGGAAACAGGACATGTAGACATAAAAAAGAATATAATCTTGGGTGAAATGGCCCATTTTAAGATTTTTAGCAGGCTCACATCATGCAGCCAGGCCACCAGGCGAGCAAAATGAGCAGTACGCTAACAAGACAGGCTGCCTCCCGGCATCCTCATACACATGGCTGGGTTTAGGAGTGCGAATCATCGAAAGTGTTTTTACAGGTGTCCATCACTCCAGCGGACATTCAAACTGACTATATGGATCAGTACCTGCAATACGTGGTAATAGAGAACAAAGTGCTGTTTGTCAACTCAAATGCCACCATTTCTTTGATCGCCAGCAACAGTCTCACTGGTGGAGGGGGCGAAGACAAATTCGTCGTTCTACCGGTCAGTACAGGCATCTTTCTGAATCCATCTATCTGGTTCTATCAGCTGTTTTTTTTTCAGATTTGTCAACTCGGTATGGAGTACCATGTAGTTGGTGACGAGTCCTCTCACGTCTTTCAGAGCTATGAGTCTACGAACATCATCACTATCATCGCCACACAGGACAACACTACGGTAAGATCTCACAAATAATTTCAGAATACTCCCGACTCTCAAAGTTAACACATTTCAGTTATGATATGGAATGAAGGCTAGGCCTAAAGTTACTCGTCGTAAGCGTATCTTAAAGGCACATTCCGTCGGAAAAAATAAGGCGGATGCACCCTCTCAAATGTCGTTCTGGACGATCCGGAACGGCGATTTTTAAGGCTGTCGTCCTAACTTTCCATCAAATAAAAAAAAAAAAAAAAAAAAAAAAAAAAAAAAACAAAAAAAAAAAAAAATGTTGAAAAACCAGGTAAGAACTCCGCTGGAAGGCTGGCTAATTAGGCCCATGGACACCCCTTAGGCCCATGCCGACCCTCACCGGCTGCTAGCTACTAGCTAGTAGCCACTATGTTATCTTTCTCTATAACATTTCGGACTGCTTTTTCTGCTGCTTTTCTCCGCTAATCAGATACTTAGCACTTTTTTTGTGCCTATTTGAGTTCCGTTCCCGCAATTTGCGGTCGCGAACTGTGCCTT